TTGGGCGGGGCGGGGCAGGGCGGGAGGTCCTCCAGACCCATTGGACCATGGAAGGTCTTCTCCTGGCCCCATAACTCCTCCAAGGTCCTCTCCTGGCCCCATAGGTCCTGCCATGGGGCAGGAGGTCCTCCAGACCCATCGGACCATGGAAGGTCTTCTCCTGACCCCATAACTCCTCCAAGGTCCTCTCCTGGCCCCATAGGTCCTGCCATGGGGCAGGAGGTCCTCCAGACCCTTCGGACCATGGAAGGTCTTCTCCTGGCCCCATAACTCCTCCGAGGTCCTCTCCTGGCCCCATAGCTCCCGCCATGGGTTGAGATGTTCTCCAAACCCATTGGACCATGGAAGGTCTTCTCCTGGCCCCATAACTCCTCCAAGGTCCTCTCCTGGCCCCATAGCTCCCGCCATGGGTTGAGATGTTCTCCAAACCCATTGGACCACGGAAGGTCTTCTCCTGACCCCATAACTCCTTCTTCCCCCCTTCCTTCCGCCCCACAGAGTGCCAAGGTGGGGGGCAGGCCGTTCCTCCGGAGGTCCAGGTCCTCTCCTCGACCTCCTGCAGCCCCTCGGCGGGGGAGGAAGGGGGGGAGCTTCTCTGCCTCGTCACCGGCTTCGCCCCGCCCCCCGTGAAGGTGCAGTGGTTGGTGGACGGTGTCCCCATTGACTTCCCGGTCACCCAAATGCACCGCGGCGGGGAGAAGGTAGCGTGGTCATGGTGGTGATACTGGAGAAGGTTGCGTGGTTGTGGTGGTGGGACTGGAGAAGGTGGCACAGTCGGTGGTGGTGGGACTGGAGAAGGTGGAGCGGTCGTTGGTGGTGGCACCAGGGGGGGAGGTGAGAAGGTGGCACCAGAAGAGGTCACGTGGTCATGGTGGTGGCACCAGGGGAGGAGGTGGGGTCAGGGGAGGAGGTGACGCCAGAGGAGAAGGTCATGTGGTTGTGGTGGTGGCACAGGTGGAGAAGTTCATAGGACCACGGTGGTGTCATCACCGGGGGAGGAAGGGGTGGAGCTTCTCTGCCTCGTCACCGGCTTCGCCCCGCCCCCCGTGAAGGTGCAGTGGTTGGTGGACGGTGTCCCCAGTGACTTCCCGGTCACCCAAATGCCACCGCGGCGGGAAGAAGGGGCCACCACCTACGTGGTCAGCAGTCGCACCAACGTCAGCCACCACGAGTGGTTGGAAGGGAAGACCTTCACCTGTCAGGTGACGCATCCCCCCACCGGCCAGGTCGCCCAGGGCCACGCCCGCTTCTGCCCAGGTGAGGACGCGGGGACGGGGGAACACCGGAGGAGAAGGTCACGTGGTGATGGTGGTGGCACCAGGGGAGATGTTCACAGGCAGGGTCGGGCGTGGGGCGGTGGGTGTGACAATGTGGAGGGTCATTCAGAATGGTGGAAAAACCCTTCAAAAGTCCAAAAAAAAAAAAAAGGGGGGTCGGGAAGTTGTCGCGTAGACGACGAACGCGATTGGTCGACCGATTCCGTCCTCCGATGGGGGAATCGTCCGATTGGGCCGCGGGTGGG